ACACAACATACGACAAAATAACAAGAGTCTACTACACCCATTGTGTGATATACCGTCACACATCAATCTCTCCCTCAATAACTGCGCAACCGCACAAGTGAAGTTTGATAGTATCTCAGAGCTCTCAGGATTTTACAGCGCTGAAAATTTCTGTGCGCAACCCACCCCCTCGAGCACGTACGCCGCAACATCACGCTAAACCGTGTAACTAAACCTGTAAACCATCGTTCCACCGCAATTTTATGTCCCGGCAACTTCCCTTTAAAACCACCCTCCAACCTAACCCGGCCCAACTACAACGGAACAAAACTCGCCTAACCGAATTTCAAACATGACCCCGATGCTGCTGCTGTATATACCGCTCGTGAAACTCGGTCGTTTTCTCGTTGCATCGTGATCTTCGAGGATTAAAGTGGTCGCGTTCGATGAATACTCGAGCCACGAGAAAATCGATGATTTCGTTTCTTCGAAACTGATTTCTGGAAATTTTGGGAAACGGGGCTGGTAATACCGTTCAGCTGGATCAGCACGCACTCGGGTGTTTTCATGTAAATTGCTGGATTATAGGCTTGATCGTTCGGTCGTGGGCTTATTAAAGTGTGCTTAGGTCTGATTCGCGATGGGGATCGTCGCTGTTGTAAATCGTGACCCAAATACGAGTGTTGGTTCTCGAAGAACGTGAGATTTTGTAAGTAATCGCGTTCGAGGCTTTTTCGTGATTTCTGCTTTCTGGGATTTCAAGTTTAGGGTCATTCGAATGTATGGGGATTTGGTATTGGAGAGGGTGGATCATTTGGAAGTTGGGATATTACGTGTAGGGATTTGTAATTATGGAGTTTGGGAATTTGGAAGTTGGGTTGTTGAGATATGTGGGGATTTAGAATTGAGGGGTTGGAAAATTTGGGGATTTGTGACGCGTGGAGTTATGATGCGTAGAATTACAGCGCGTAGAGTTAGGACGAGTGTAGTTGCGGTGCGTAGAATTACGGCGCGTGGAGTTATGACGCGTGGAACTGGGGAGTGCGAAGTTGCGACGCGTGGAGTTACAAGGCGTGAAGTTACGGCGCGTGCAATTACAACGCGTGGAATTACGGTGCGTAGAGCTGCGGTGCGTGGAGTTATGACGCGTGGAACTACGGAGCGCGAAGTTGCGACACGTGGAGTTACGAGGCGTGGAGTAGCGACGCGTAGAACTACGGCGCGTGGAATTAGGACGCGTGGATCTACGGTGAGTGGAATTAGTGCGAGTGGAATTGCAGCGCGTGGAATTTACAAAGCGTGGAATTACAGAGCGTGGAATTTACAAAGCGTGGAATTTGCAACGCGTGGAATTTACAGAGCGTGGAATTACGAAGCGTGGTATTTACAAAACGTGGAATTACAAAGCGTGGAATTTACAAAGCGTGGAATTACAGAACTTGGAATTTACAAAGCGTGGAATTACAGAACTTGGAATTGACAAAGCGTGGAATTTGCAACGCGTGGAATTACGGAGCGTGGTATTTACAAAGCGTGGAATTACAAAGCGTCGAATTTACAAAGCGTGGAATTACAGAGCACGGAATTTACAAAGCGTGGAATTTGCAACGCGTGGAATTTACAGAGCGTGGAATTACAGAGCGTGGATTTACAACGCGTGGAATTATAGGGCATGAAATTACGAGGCGTGGAGTTACGACGCGAGCAATTACAACGCGTGGAGTTACGGCGCGTACGGAAATTTGCAAATGGCAGTATTTGTCCCCACACTAATTCAACCCTAAACAAATCCACAAATCCACAATATACAAAATTAACCACCATATTTTAAAAATTCCAGAAGTTACAAGACCATAATATTCTCTCAACTCAGTAAAACTTCCGAACGAAAAGTTTGGTGGGGATTTCGCAATGTCTCTCTCAATATGTCGCCTATAGTTGATCGCCTTAATAGAAACGCGGTCGCGAGACCGATAGAACTGCCGGGACTCCCCCGAACCGACTAGACGGTAACCCAGGAAAGCGACGAGTTCGGAACAATGTTCGTTCGCGAGGCGTGTCGTTCGAGCCGAGAAAAGTTCGGTGCAGATAGGTCGTCGCTGCCTTTGTTACTACCTTTGTTGTTCAGCGAGGATTTAAGATAAGGGCGGTCGCGCTTTGTTCCCGAACGCTCGTCGTCGCTCGAGTTTGCTGATTGCACGCGTTGCTCGCTTTCACGGAGACGCAGGAACGTGTTGCGGGATTGTGAGTTTCTTTTCTTTCAAACGATGCTTGTACCGACATGTATACTTCTTTCTCCGAAGTTGTATCGCTTCGAGGTACATACGTGCTGTGTTGGATGGATAGAAATTTTTAATATAGGTTTATAATTTCTTGGAAGTAAGGTACAGAGAGCTTTCGATGGTATTCGACGGTTTTACGGAGACTTGTGTTATAGTTGGTGGAGACATTGTGAGTCATACGATATTTAAGTGGTAGTTACTTGATTGTAAGACGCAATAGGTTGATGTAAAGAGAGTGGGGATGTAATACGAAGTATTCTAACGGGTGAAATTGGGAGAGAAGTTAGGTTCGTGGGGTCTCTAAAGGTAAAACGTTAGCGTGCGGAAATATGGCGCGTGATGTTAAGGACCGTGGAGTTGTGACGCGTGGAACTATGGCGGGTGGTACAACGGCACGTGGAGTTAGGGCGCGTGGAGTTGGGACGTGTAGATTTACGGGGCGTAGAGTTACAATGCGTGGAATTATCGCGCGTGGAGTTCCTACGCGTGGAATTACGGCGCGTGGAACTATGGCGCGTGGAATTACGGCGCGTGGAGTTACTACGTGTGGAATTACGACGCGTGGAGTTACTACGCCTGGAATTATGGCGCGTGAAATTTCTATGCGTGGAATTACGGCGCGTGGAGTTCCTACGCGTGGAATTACGGCACGTGGATTTACTACGCGCGGAATTACGACGCGTGGATTTACTACGCGCGGAATTACGACGCGTGGAGTTCCTACGCGTGGAATTATGGCGCGTGGAGTTCCTACGCGTGGAATTATGGCGCGTGGAGTTCCTACGCGTAGAATTACAGCGCGTGGAGTTTCTACGCATAGAATTACGGCGCGTGGAGTTATTACGCGTGGAATTACGGCGCGTAGAGTTCCTACGCGTGGAATTACTGCGCGTGGAGTTCCTACGCGTGGAATTACAGCGCGTGGAGTTCCCACGCGTGCAATTACTGCGCGTGGAGTTCCTACGCGTGGAATTACGGCACGTGGATTTACTACGCGCGGAATTACGACGCGTGGAGTTCCTACGCGTGGGATTACAGCGCGTGGAGTTCCTACGCGTGGAATTACGGCACGTGGATTTACTACGCGCGGAATTACGACGCGTGGAGTTCCTACGCGTGGGATTACAGCGCGTGGAGTTCCTACGCGTGGAATTACGGCACGTGGATTTACTACGCGCGGAATTACGACGCGTGGAGTTCCTACGCGTGGAATTACAGCGCGTGGAGTTCCTACGCGTGGAATTATGGCGCGTAAAATTTCTATGCGTGGAATTACGGCGCGTGGAGTTCCTACGCGTGGAATTACGGCACGTGGATTTACTACGCGCGGAATTACGACGCGTGGAGTTCCTACGCGTGGGATTACAGCGCGTGGAGTTCCTACGCGTGGAATTACGGCGCGTGGAGTTACTACGCGTGGAATTACGGTGCGTGGAGTTGCGACGCGTGGAATTATCCCGCGTGCAATTACAACGCGTTCAAGTATAAAATACCATACAAAACATATCAAAAAACCGTACAATAATGCAATGCGTCTCTATAAACCTTGAAATCAATTACGAAACATCAATTATGAAATCCAACAATATTTTAGTTACCCAAATTCACTACCAGTTCCAACTCAACATAAATTCATTGGAACCTTGTCTTTCGACTGAACCAGATTTGCACGCAAAACAATAAACTACAATTTCCTACGATGTTTAAGATTTTCAGTTAATAAAATAGAAGATGTACGGACATTCCTGTGACAATTGTTTAAAATAAAATATCGAAGTTTATATATAACCGGAGGCAGTGTAAAGCACGAGGTGCAATATTGTGTACGTGTTAACGGGGTCAGAATGACCGAAATACGATGCGCAAAGTTTAGACTTGATGAAAGGAAAGTTTCCTATGCATCTTCGTGGTTTATTGCGGCCGTAAAGTGTTTCTGTTCTTTGAAGCATGTGTAATAAACGTGTAATATCGGTGTTTACTACGTATGCCCGTGTGTCATCGACAAATATCTCTCACTTGCATGTATCTGAATTTATGATGTCATGATTTTCTTTGAACTTGTTTATGATTTTAATATTTCCATTTTGCATAAATATTTTCTTGGCTTCTCACGGGGATTTTGCGTTTGATACGAAGTCGTACTGTAATTTATTATTTATCGAACGTTTATGAAAGATTTTCTAGGGAAGTTTTCTGCTACGTCATAGGATTTATTATTACACTCATTTATTATTTTACAGAAAATTATTATGCAATGAATTCATGGACTGTTATTATTCAAGACACTTTATTATTAAATTATTAATCTATTCATGAAAAATTTTAAAAAAAGAAAATTTTCTACTACGTCAATAATGAAAAATTTATTTATTCAAATTTATTTATTGTACAAAAATTATTATTATACAATGAGTCCACAAAACACTATTATTATTCAAGACACTTTATTATTAAATTATTAATCGACTACTTAAAAAAGATTTTAAAAAAAGAAACTATTTTACGATGTCCATATTGAAAAATTTATTATTAAACAAAATTATTATTATTACATAAAACTAATTATACAATAAATTCATGAACTATAATCATTAAAAATTCTCTCTTACCAAAATTGTTTCAAAAAATTCAGAAACAGTCAAGAGATAGCTTAAGTTGTATTTCGTTAAATGTATTGATTACCAACACCATTTTGTTTGAACGTGCCCGTCTGACGTACCGCCATTTTCTGTGTTTCAGGTAGGTCTAGTAAGCAATAAATTGATTTGTGTTCTGTGCACGAAGGGAAAGTACGTGCGAAGATTCTAGACAGTATGATGATGGCAAACCTACCCCCCGTTATGCTGCCACCCCTTACCGACTATGGGATGCTGACTCCTACCCTCGGAATAAAGGTGAGTCGAGATGATCCACTTTGGATTGGCAGTCTCGTTCATATATATATATTTCTAACTATCTTACGTTCCTTCTAAAACGTTGTAACCTTTTAAAAATAATGGATCGTTCGGTGTTTGGGGTAAGTTAATTATACCTTTCTTCAATTTTTTCATTTGTTGGCTTATTGTTAGGGTGATTATGTTCTGTTATTAAGGTTAGTACCTTATGTTTTATTATTAAGGTACTACCTTATGTATCATTATTAAGGTACTACTTTATATTCTATTATTAAGGTATTATCTTATGTTTTATTATTAAGGTACTACCTTACATTTTATTATGAGGTACTACCTTAATGTATAATTCCACGCATTGCGAGTCTACGCATCGTAGTAAAGCTTGCAAAGATATGACGCGTGGAGTTACGACTCGTGGAGTTACGACGCGTGGAACTACGGCGCGTGGAGTTCCGACGCGTAGAATTACAGCGCGTAGATCTATGGTGCGTAGAGTTACGGCGCGTGGAATTACGGCGCGTGGAGTTGCGACGCGTGGAACTACGGCGCGTGGTACTATTACGCGTAGAACTACGGCGCGTAGAACTATGACGCGTAGAGTTGCGATGTGTGGAACTATGGCGCGTGGAGCTACGACGCGCGGAATTATGGCGCGTGGAATTACGGCGCGTGGAATTAGTACGAATGGAATTACGGCGCGTAGAATTACGATGCGTGGAAGTGCGATGCGTAGACTTCCGACGCGTAGAATTACAGCGCGTGGAACTATGGTGCGTAGAGTTACGGCGCGTGGAGTTATGGCGCGTGGAATTACGGCGCGTGGAGTTGCGACACGTGGAACTACGGCGCGTGGAACTACGGCGCATGGAACTATGACGCGTGGAGTTGCGACGTGTGAAACTTTGACGCGTGGAGTTACGACGCGTGAAATTATGGCGCGCGGAACTATGACACGTGGAATTAGTACGAGTAGAATTACGATGCGTAGAAGTACGATGTGTAGACTTCCGACGCGTGGAGTTATAACGCGTGGAACTACGGTGCGTGAAACTACAGCGCGTGGAATTACCGTACGTGAAATTACGGTGCGTGGAATTACCGCGCGTGGAATTACAACGCGTTATATTATTAAGGTACTACCTTACAATTTTATATTCTTAAGGTAATGTCTCACATTTTATTATTAAATTAACACCTTTTATCGTTCCATTGCAATATTCTTTGTGTTAACACGTGGACTATCGTCGTCCACGGGCTGTAGATTGCTTGCTTCGATGTTGCGAATGTTCCCAGGCATGTTTTCAATATTTTTCTTGTGAACACTGATTCATAAATATTTTACGAAATTCATGCTACCTTAAGACTTTTCTGTCTGACTATTGCCGTTCCATACTACTTGCATATTCCATAGTACTTGCCACTTCTGTCACATTTCCCTTTACAATTTTTAGAACAATTCATACGATTACATGAACTTTATTGCAGTACAAAAAACAGTACTACGTTTTTCAAGAAGATAAATTTGACAAAATAGAGGAGAAATATGATTACTCAAAAGTAGTAAAAATTCCGTATTCTCTCTAAGGTAGAATATTCGGTTGGCAATAAAAAGAAGAAAGAGGAAAGTCATTCCGTGATCGCCTTTCATCCAGCGGTCTTTTGTACCCTTGTGAGCCACGTTCGACTGGGTCGCTGTAAACCACCGGATATTAATTAAAATTCCTCTGCAAATACTTGGTAGGTGAACGTGTGTCGATGTGTTCGTCGACGACGCGTCTAATTTACTACGCGATTTTCCACGTGCTGCCCTTGGAAAATGGAAACGTGCATCGATTGCTCGCGGTTGCCGCGTTCGTAGCTGCCGTTGCCTTCATAATTTCGCTGTTTCGATTGGCTCCTTCGATTTATTACCACCTTTAAACCTTAATAGCCTACACACTGAAACATCAGCACCCAACTATATTTTTGAAGAATTAGTAAATTGAAAAATTCATTTAAAAAAATTTGATATGAGTTTATGTGTAAGTTCACGAAATGTGCAAATTCAACATGTACAAATTAGTGAAAACAGCAATAACAAATTTGATATGTTTTGTGTGATAATTATTAGAATGATTAGAATTACGGCGCGTGCAATTACAACGCGTGGAAGTACGGTGCGTGGAGTTATGGCGCGTGGAGTTGCGACGCGTGGTACTATGACGTGTGGAATTACGGCGCATGATACTATGACGCGTGGAATTATGGCGCGTAGAATTATAGCGTATGGAATTTAAAGCGCGTGGATTTATAGCGCGTGGAATTATGGCGCATGGAGTTATGGCGCATGGAATTTACAGCGCTTGGAATTGCAGCGCGTGGAATTGAAGGGCATGGAATTTACAGCGCGTGGAATTACAGCGCGTGGAGTTACGGCGCGTGGAGTTGCGACGCGTGGTACTATGACGTGTGGAATTACGACGCATGATACTATGACGCGTGGAATTATGGCGCGTAGAATTATAGCGTATGGAATTTAAAGCGCGTGGATTTATAACGCATGGAATTATGGCGCATGGAATTTACAGCGCTTGGAATTGCAGCGCGTGGAATTATGGCGCATGGAGTTATGGCGCATGGAATTTACAGCGCTTGGAATTGCAGCGCGTGGAATTGAAGGGCATGGAATTTACAGCGCGTGGAATTACAGCGCGTGGAGTTGCGACGCGTGGTACTATGACGTGTGGAATTACGGCGCATGATACTATGATGCGTGGATTTATAGCGCATGGAAGTATAGCGCGTGGAATTATGGCGCATGTTATTTACAGCGCTTGAAATTGCAGCGCGTGGAATTTACAGCGCATGGAATTTACAGCGCGTGAAATTACAAAGCGTGTAATTACAGCGCGTGGAATTATAACATCGTGGAACTACGATGCGTGCAATCATTTACATTCAATCACATTAATAGTCAACCAATGACTTTTGATGACGTCACATACACATGTAAAAGCGGCCATTAAAAACTTAATATCAATATCAAACTTACATCTCCTAGAAATGAAATGAATCTACTGAGTGTTAATTTTATCACTAAATTTCCCATCTGATTTTGACTTTTACAGATGTTAGAGAAGTTTCATAAAAATTTCTCTTGTCTCGCAATATCTCTTCTCTAAAGAAATTACAAAGCAGTCGGCAATTAAGGGAAATACCAGACGTGATTTTATCGCGGCCTCATCTCGAAGAATACGGCATTGTAGTCCGATCGTGTTCTTTCCCGACGCGATAACCGTTCTCGTTACCTGAGCTTATAAAAGAGGAATGCAAAACAGGCCTGAATGCGGAGGTTCCTTTCGGGCAAACTAGGACGAAAAAGATGAATAACATTAAGTTACTTAAATCGCCGCCGTTGCAACTCGCGAAATTTCAAAGGGATGACCTGCATTGTTTTGGTGAAAAAGATAACTCTTGCTGTCTTTATTTTTATTTATTAATATGAACACTGATTGTTTATTTGTGACAATTTGTCATTTACTGAACTTGCAACTCTTAATGATCAAACGGGGGTATATGGGATATGAATCACTCAAGGCAATTTCATTTCAATTTTAGTTATTTTATATCTTGAAAATTTGAGATTGTTCTTCCATGCATTGTAAGTCTACGCACCGTAGTTAAGCTTGTGAAGATGTGCTGCGTGGATTTACGATGCGTGGAATTACAACGCATGGAATGTAGGGTTGCGGCGTGTGGAATTATGACGCGTGGAATTACAACGCATGGAATGTAGGGTTGTGGCGTGTGGAATTATGACGTGTGGAATTACTTCATGTAGAGCTGCGACGCGTGGAGATACGGCGCGAAGAATTACAACGCGTGGAATTTCGGCGCGTGGAGTTACGACGCGTGAAACTACAGCGCGTGGAGTTATGACGCGTGGTGCTACGGTGCGTGGAGTTACGACGCGTGGAACTACGGTGCATGGAGTTAGGATGCGTGGATATACGGCGCGTAGAATTACGGCGCGTGGAATTACAACGCGTGGAATTACAACGCGTGGAAATACGGCGCGTGGAACTACGACGCGTGGGACTGCAATGCGTAGACTTCCGACGCGTGGAGTTATGACGCGTGGAACTACGATGCGTGAAACTATGACGCGTGGAATTACCGTGCGTGAGATTATGACGCGTGGAGCTACGGTGCGTGGAGTTACGACGCGTGGAATTACGGTGCATTGAGTTAGGACGCATGGATATACGGCGCGTAGAATTACGGCGCGTGGAGTTATGACGCGTGGAGATACGGCGCGTAGAATTACGGCGCGTGCAATTACGACGCGTGGAATTACAACGCGTGGAACTACGATGCGTGGAATTTGTACGCGTGGAAATACGACGCGTGGAATTACGATGCGTGAAACTATGACGCGTGGAATTACCGTGTGTGAAATTACGATGCGTGGAGCTACGATGCGTGGAGTTACGGAGCGTGGAATTGCGGTGCATGGAGTTAGGACGCGTGGATATACGGCGCGTAGAGTTACGGCGCGTGGAGATACGGCGCGTGCAATTACGACGCGTGGAATTACAACGCGTGGAACTACGATGCGTGGAATTTGTACGCGTGGAAATACGACGCGTGGAATTACGATGCGTGAAACTATGACGCGTGGAATTACCGTGTGTGAAATTACGATGCGTGGAGCTACGATGCGTGGAGTTACGGAGCGTGGAATTGCGGTGCATGGAGTTAGGACGCGTGGATATACGGCGCGTAGAGTTACGGCGCGTGGAGATACGGCGCGTGCAATTACGACGCGTGGAATTACAACGCGTGGAACTACGATGCGTGGAATTTGTACGCGTGGAAATACGACGCGTGGAATTACGATGCGTGAAACTATGACTCGTGGAATTACCGTGCGTGAAATTACGACGCGTGGAATTACGGTACGTAGAATTACGGCGCGTAGAACTAAGACACGAGGAGTTAAAACGAATGGAACTACAATG